AGATAAAGCCGTGATCCACAATTTTTTATACCCCGTTCTAGAAATGGATACCCCGTTCTAAATCAGGAGCTTCAAAATCACGACCCCGTTGGGCGGCACATACCCGTATAGGTAATGTATGGGAGTACCCCCCCGGGCAAAAACATCAGTGTTTTAAAGTGTGCATTTCAATCTGTGGGGAGCGGCTTTCATCTACGACATAAAAGTAGTTTGTTTGGTTCTCTCCGCTTTGCTGTTGGTATTGATAATTCTCACAGTTTAAAATTTGACCTATCTAAGCATCGATAAACATGCTTCGTCAGCAGCCCATCAAATTGATGGGCTCCTGGCTTCGTGCATTTGCTGGTGTTCTTTACACAATAATTCGATGAATGAATGAATATATGCATTCAAGTAAATTTAGTGTAAAGTAACCCAAAAGGTAACGAATAGCCTGAGTATCAGGCCCCCCGGGAACATCCCGGGGGGTACTAAACAACGTTTTATACCGGACAAGAGCCCATTTTGGGCCCCTGACGGGGAGGCTTCGCTAAAATCATTTTTGACAGCAAAGGTAGCCATTCGCATATCTTTTATTGACAAATGGTACCCACATACTTAGAACACTGTAAATGCCCAGTCTTTCTTAAAAATATCAATAAATGTACAGCCATGAAATGCGCCTGATAGCCTTTTTAGGTCCTTTCACAGACCGCAATGACAGATTTTTCTACCCTATTATATACTTCAAGCAATGAAATCCCAACCCTTTCTTATAAAAAGGTACCTCTTTCCGGAGGAGCCTCTCTGCGGTATAGGCTATTATAGGCAGTACCTCCCCTGGATTAAACCTTCCTCAGGGGCTAGAAGAGAGAAAAGTCATCATAGCAGTGGCCGATCCAGGGGAGGGGCCCGCGGAGCTCGGTCCCCCCCTTATTTTTAGACTAAACTGAGGCCTGAAGTACCGAAAAAATTTTTTTGGAGACAGCCCCCCCCCTTATTTAAGAGTCTGGATGACCGCCCTCCCCGTCTGGATCCAGCACTGTCATAGTATACGAGACACGTAAGCGAAGAGTTTACAATCAGATCAGTTAAATTCTTTGATACACAAGCTTATCAGGTCATGGCATGTGCCATTATTATGCATATTTTCCTTAATTTTCAAGTCTTTTATCGAAAAAACAGACAAAGGTAAAAAAAAAAAAAAAAAAAAAAAACGAAAATATCATGTACCCAGTACAATCCTGAATTGTTTCTGAAGGCAACCCGAATAAAATTTGTTTGATCTTCTCCAACCCATTCTGCCCATAGTTTTAAGCTGTTGGGGTAAGCCTTAGTGTCATGATCATTGCCTAAAATTACTTGACCACTTACAATCAAGGACGCTCAAATTGGGTCACACTGCTCTGGTAACTGCCTTTCTCCTTCCAATGTTGTTTTGCAATGGTTTTTTGGTGGAATTATCCAATTTCAAGGCCAACATTGAACAAAATGAGGAAAAGGGCGTCGAGCACATCACACTCGAGATGGAGTGAATTGTCGGTTTCAGTTATGTTCCATGTCTAACCTCGATGTCTGTCGGTTGGCCCGTGTTTCCCACCCTACTTCTTATCTCAGTGTTTCGGGATATTACATGGGATGAAGAAGAAGCACTCTGTCTCGTGACAGGAACACGTGCAAGCTGAGTTTTTACTTTTTACTTCATGTTCAGGCGAAAATATGACGCTTTTCACATTGACTTGAGAGGTCCACAGTAAAGGTCGCCTTGTAATCTGGGTGTACCAACTGCCTTCTCGACAAACCCCTTCCTTGTGATAACAGAGGTGGAGCTGTAGATGTACAACGGACGTCGGTTGGCCAAGCCTAACCAAGGTACGATTGAAATACGTTTATCTCGCCACCAGACCACCTCACCACAAACAAAATCGCCACCGAGAAGTAGACTCGCCGCAAACAATGCAGTTACTGTAAGAGACATGAAAACGTAGCGTAAATTTTCTGGGAACAGAAACATTGTGATCCTTTTTGGCACGTGCACGAATCCGTCCGCAGCACGATTGAAATACGTTTCGCTCGCCACCAGGCCATCACACCACCAACAAAATCGCCACGGAGAGGTCGACTCGCCGTTCCTTCGAATTTCACATGCAGCACCGAACCTATTATTAGTATTAGGAAATGGGAAGGTACCCAAGTAGAATATGGACAGTATGTGTCAATTAAGATCTACCTATTTAACCGTGATTTGTACTGTTTGGGTCGACTTCATATTTGGCTAAGCTTGAAGAAGAACTAAAAATGGTATTGAATGGAAACCGATCATGTGGATTTCGCTTTGCGGCAGCTATAATCCTTAGAAAATATGCCAGTTATAACTGAGTTGGTGTGGTGAGTTGACTTCGTCGGTGGCGAGAGTGACCGGATGCCACTTGAATTTAAAAATTATCAAAACTTCTCAACTTTATTGCCACAAAAGCTCATAACATTCCTTTATCATTTCACCACAAACTAAAGTTGCCAT